TAGAATCACTATGTTGTACATCTGGAACTACTGTAACATCGTGTAACCAATAATAATAATAATAATAATAATAATAATAATAAAAAGAGCAATCTAATCATTGTCCTTGAGAACATCATCCTTAAGCAGGGGCAAGGCCATTGCAAGAGCAAGTGTTGTAGAAGGTAGGGGATGATGATTTTCACACAAGGAGCCCTGAACACAAAGAAACTATTTTTAGCAGCAGGATCAGCAAAAGCACTGTGTGTGATTGTGATGTTTGATGACTGTTTGAATGCTGCTTTATTTCACACAATATGTTTTCATGGTCATGGTATCCCTCCTTTCTCCAAAGCACAAGTAAGTCAACAAATAAATTAGTATTATCCCCATTTTGCATATAAGAAAATGAAGGCTCACTAAGTATGTTAACTGACCAAAATTCATGAAACTAGGGATTAAAACGAGATGTGATGCTACATTTAAAATTTACTCTCGTTATACCAAGTTACCTTCATTTCTAGAAACCTCTAGATTTAAAATATAGCTATTTCTTTAAAAATTAAGTCATTTCAATTCACTGGGCATGAGAAATCAACTTCCTTCTTTTCTATTCCAATCTGTTTTATCACTCATGAGATCTTGCTATGTGCTTCATAATGAAACTACTGCACTTTGTTTCTCTTCTTCTTTGAAGCCTTTTCTTGTTATTCATTTAAAATATAGTTAATTTGGGGTGCCTGGGTGGCTCAGTGGGTTAAGCATCTGGCTTTGGCTTAGGGCATGATCTCGCAGTTCGTGAGTTTGAGCCCTATTTTAGGCTCTATGCTGACATCTCAGAGCCTGGAGCTTGCTTTTGATTCTGTGTCTTCCTCTCTCTCTCTGACCCTCCCCTGCTCACACTCTCTCTCAAAAATAAAATAAAAACTTAATAAATAAATAAGAGTTAATTTGATTCTAACCATAACTAATGCATGATCCTTACTGAAAAGATGAAAAAAATAAGAAAATGTTTTCAAAAATAATTATTATTGTTTCCTGTTTCTTCATATTACTATTTTTAAAATAAATTTTATTATAGCAATGAATTGCAATGCACTACAAAGATTGTAGTCTTTGGGTTATACATATTGTTGTTGACATGAACACATTAGATTGGTCTCCTTTTTAAATTTATTTTTTAATTTTTTACTTTTATTAAGTTTTTATTTTAATTCCAGCATAGTTAACATACAGCATTGGTTTCAGATGTACAATATAGTAATTTAACAATTCTGTCCATTATTCATTGCTCTTTGTAATACTCTTATCTAGTGACCAACAACTTTGTCCCCTTTTTAAAAAGTGAACTTTGGAGTTTGTGATTTTCTTTACAATGTTTCTAAAGTTTCCACATTTCCTTGTACTATGTCCATGGTAATGTGTATGGCTCTGTCTTAGTTTGTCCACCATGCTGGTATTCCTGAATAAATATGAAAAGGTCAGCACCTCACCGTATGTACATTGCCCCATCCTCTTTGTGACTCTTCTCCTGCCCCCACGCCTCCCACCTTTGTACCATCACATATCTGTTCACACTCACTTGATTCCTGCAACACTGGCCCTGCTTCCTTCTTGCGAGCTTTCTGGCACCTCTTTCTTCAGCTAGTTTGCCCTCCTTTTTCTCTGCATTATGCTCAAATAGAGTGCTCCCTTTTCTGTTGGAGAAAATGAGTCCTCTCACCTCCAACCTCTCTGCTTGGCCTGAGTCCCTATCCTATTGCAAACATATAGCCAGGCTGTACACATGTCCCTCTCTGTCTAGTGAACCCACAGAAACACTGCATTCAAATGGAATTAATTTTTTTTCTGAAATCAGGCCAGTTGTTCAGTGTTCACCATTATAGGCAGATACTTGATGCAAAAGAAAAAAAAAGGAAAAAAGACAATAAAAAACAATGACAGGAGCAACCAGCCAATCAGTATAATGTCCCTTCTCCGCGTACAATCAGCTCCAGCTGTAGGCCCTTTATCTTGAGAGTTCATAGGATAATACACACACATAATTAACCCAAATAAACCCACTTTCGTGAAAAACATTTTGAAGGCTTCAGCACAAAAGAACACTTTTTGGTCCAGATCCTGTACTATTCTGAATTTTTAAAAAGACCACACAGAGGCCTCATCAACAGTCCCCTAATTAAACTCATCAGTTCACAGATGTTTACAGGAAAACGCTCAGCAAAAATTTTCACCAAGAATTCCTGTTTCCTGAGAGGAGAGATGAAAGATGACAATAGTAATAGTAATAATAGCTAACATTAATAAGTATTTTGATGGTTCTGCCATTTTACATAGGTCAATACATTTAAATCAATAACGCCTTGAGGCAGCAGTTATGATCATACCTATTTTATAGATGTCAAAAGTAAGGCTAAGAAGGGTAAGTGAGTAAGTTGTCCAAAGTCACAAAGCCAGGAAAATCCAGGACCAGGATTCAGATCCTGGTCTGCATGACTCAAATGCATGTGCTCTTAATCACAGGGTTCTTTTGCCAATATCATACCACCTGTTCCATGACTAAAATTTGTGTAAATGTTCCAACACTTTGTAGTCACCAAATAATGGGTCTGAAATCCCACTTTTGTAAACCACTATTATCCCCACTTCTCACCTCCACCCTTTGCTCAGCTTCTACCTTCTGGTGTAAAAACTTCCCTGGTGGTCTAAGAGTCTACATACAAAGTCATTCTCAGTAAACATGCTTGAATGTCTTACTAGAATATGAGATTCAAGGGAGCTGGGGGCCTTATCTATCTGGAAGAGTAATAGCGATGACTGGTTAAAAGCCTGGCCTCTGGATCCATACTGCCTGGCTTTAAATCTGCTTCTACCACAATCTACCATGATCTAATTGATCATTACATTAATGACTTTGGCCCAAGTTTCTAAACCTCTTGGAGACATGCTTTTTTAATCTGTAAAGTGAAAAGTAATTACAATAGCTACCACATAGGTTGTGAAGTTTGATTATGTTCATATGTGTAAATAATTTAGAAAAGTGCCTCATGTATAAAACATAGTATGTAAGTGCTATGATTAGGATTTTCATTCTCAATATTTATTACTATATCTCTAATATGTAGAACCGTGACTGACACATTATAAGTATGCTTTTGACCAATGGATGAACAAGGGCTAGACAAGTAGAAATACAAAAGGATTTATGAGAATGTCACTTGTCAAGAAAAGAACTATGGGAACCAATGGAAAAGCTTATAGCTTAATGGAGAATTCATGGTCAGCATTCATACACATCAATCATGTTTGGTTTCCTCCAGCTCTGGGGTCCCTAATGGACTACACTATCAAGAATTGGTTGGCACATGGAATTTACAACAACATGGATGGAGTTAGAGGGTGCTATGCTAAGTAAAATAAGTCAGTCAGAGAAAGACAGCTATCATATGATTTTACTCATATGTGGAATTTAAGATATAAAAGAGATTAACACAAGAAAAGGGAAGCAAAGCAAAAATAATACGAAAACAGAGAGGGAGGCAACCATAAAGACTCTTAAATACAGAGAATAAGCCAAAGGTTGCTGGAGGGGTATTGGTTGAGGGGAATGGGCTAAATGGGCAAGGGACATTAAGGAAGACACTTGTTGGGATGAGCACTGGGTGGTACATGTAAGTGATGAATCACTAAATTCTATTCCTGAAATCACTATTACACTGTATATTAATTAACTTGGATTTAAATTTTAAAAAAGAATTACTTGGCACATGGAATTTATATGACAACATAAGGCAAAAAGAAAAGAATGCAATATTGTAAGGCGTTCTATGACTAAAGTACTCATTAAATAGTCCAGAGAATATGTAGGGGATCCAAGCTAATGTCCTTTGGCATATTTATTTTAACTCTGCATCATTTCAGCAGAAATTAACTAAAGAATCACTCAATTAAAAACATAGTAGCCAAATAAGATACCTAAAATACTAGATATATGGGATGACTGGGTGGCTCAGTAGGTTAAGCATCTGACTTCAGCTCAGATCATGATCTCACAATTCATGGGTTCAAGCCACGCATTGGGCTCTGTAATGACATGTCAGAGCCTGGAGTCTGCTTCAGATTCTGTGTCTCCCTCTCTCTCTGCCCCTACCCTGTTCACGCTCTGTCTCTCTCTGTCTCAAAAATAAAACATTTTTTTAATTTTAAAAATAATACAATATTAGGTATTTAAAATACTTCATAAATACTTTTATACCATTTAAGAGGAGTGCTGCTGAGATACACTGTAATGAATGTTAGAATGTAATATTATATAACGAAACTATGTGAATATTATAGTTTGTTCCAACTATGCCACTTGTATGATTTATCCTGAATAAATCATCAATGTTGTGCACAAAAAATAGAAAAAAAGGTTAACTGCAACATTATTTATAGTAGAAAAAAATTAGAAGCAAACTGAACATGTTTTAGTAAAAGATTGGTTAAAACATTTTGTTACCATTATGCCACACAATGCTGTATAGAAAACAAAGTCATTTTGTTGAAGCACATGGACCAATGGCCACTCTATATTTAAAAAGCAGGTTCCAAAACAGTATGTACAATACAGTCACAATTGTTTAAAGAAATATATGCCAAATAAGGAGACTTTGGTTAATTTTTCCTTTTTTTTAGTTCAATAAGTATGTATTACTTTTGTTATTGGAAACAATATAGAGACATTTGACCCTCTTTTTCTTTTTTCCACAAATAATATTCTGATTCCTATTATGATACTTTCCTTTTTCATAGACAAAGTCAGAAGCAATTTCATTTTTTTAGCATCGGCAAATGTACCTTATCTGCTTTGGCTAATGGCATTAATCCATCTTCTCTATCAAAGTTTAATGTAGATACTGGCTTGTAATTATTGCAATTTAATCTTTAAATAAGGTCACAATTCTATGTATCTCTTTGCCTGGCTATTTCTTTTCACCTGCATAGGTCTGACTTACTTTTGAATATTATTTTCCTTTCAGGTAAACAACTACAGTTTAGAAGAAGTGACTCATGAAGAGGCGGTAGCAATATTGAAGAACACATCTGATGTCGTTTATCTAAAAGTTGGCAAACCCACCACCATTTATATGACTGATCCTTATGGTCCACCTGACATTACTCACTGTAAGCACCACACTCAGTTTCACCTTTGTCAGGTTTACAAAATTAGAATTCTGCAAAACTTGGCAAATTCCCCTGCTTTCATCTTCACTCTTGTTTAGATTGTGGAAATAGTTCTGAGTGATGCTGTGTTTCACTCCCTGGGTTGCTTTACAAGGCCTTAACTAGTGTTTTGAAGGTGGGACAGCTGGGGAGTTGGGAAGTCCACCATTTAAGAAAGGCTTATGGTGTATGTTATGGACAGTGTGGTCACAATAGGAGCAACACATTTTTAAAGGTTATTTCTTGAGCCCCTAAAGCATGGTAGGTCTCGGGCCATACAATTCCCCCTTCCTAGTCAATTCTAAAGTAGCCAAGCAGAAAAGAGAGACTGGAAAAATAGACCTGAGGTAGCACTATGCTCCTTCCTGGAGACAGGATCTTGCACTTGAATGGTGGAATCATGACCTTCTGTCACCATCATCGTAGCTCTTACCTTTACCTGAATATGTTACATTGGCAGGGAAGCCAGGGAGAACCGTTAGTCACTCTGGCAGTAGAGATGGATTGTGGGTGGGGGTTTCTAGGGCAACAACTAACTATGAGATGCTGTGTTGAGTCCTAATAAAGTCTACTGCTACATAAGCCGCAAGGTCTCTTCTTGATAGGTCAGCAAGAATCTTATCTAAGGTTCTATCTTTGGGGATAGATTTAGAAGCAATTTGTTTTTTTTATGTCAGTTTAAGGGAAGTTTTATCAACATCAGTAAACTTGCCCATTCTAGAATGTTGAGAAACCAGTTATGAGATTAGAAATGCAGAATATCTTCAGGACCTGGCATTAATTAGTACTGTGATCTTAAGCAAGTAATTTAACCTCTCTTAGAGTTAGATGTTTCTCTTGAGAGAAATTTAAAGGCTGAATAATTTTGTTACCTACCCATTACGTTAGCTGTTGCTTTTCCTAACAATGATTTGAAAATGACTTGCCCCCAAAATATGTCTTTTTCTTAAGCATGCAGTAAGCTGAAATCAGCCTTACCTTAGGATATGAAAGAATTTTAACTTTCAAAGGTTTTCAAACTGGATGAATTTAGAAAAATCAGCCTTGAGACTCTGAGCTGCTTCACAAAGGGTATGTAAGGTCAATGTTAAAGAGGTGAAAGCAATAACATAAAACTTTGCTATTTAATTCAAAAAATAAATATATTGAGTAACTTCAATAGTATAAGACACATCATAAGATAATGTGTGGGATACAAAGAAGATGTAATCATAGCCTTCATTGGAAGGATGGCTAATTCAAATATATGAATAGCAGAAATATTTGACAATAAAAGAGGGATGTACAGGCAATAGGAATGGTAAAGACAAATGACTTTTGGGTCCTCAAAGAAAGGTTATACCACCTGTGTTTGGAAGGATTATAAAATGCTTTATGCAAAAGATGACATTTGAATTGTATCTTAAAGAACAGGTAAATTTTCAATGTCAGAGATGTGTTAGGAGACAGAAATTGTAGATAACTGATAAAGGTACAGATATTGGGAAAACTAGGCTTTGTTCGAGAACTATAGGATATGTGTTAATTGGGATATTAAAATGGATCAGTCTTGTAAGACTGATGAAAACAAGCATTTATATTTAATACAATAGTGGCAATGGAGAGTACTTAAGCATTATCAGAGGTGGATTTCTCAACGTATAAAATGGATTTCTAGAGCAGGTTGGGAGGCAGAAGACTTAGCCAGTAATTCCAAAGGGAGATGAATTACTATGGAGGAATAGAAAATAAAGGCCAGAGTTCGTGACCTTTCTGGGATGGGAGTACAGCATATTTGAGGATTAAGGTCTTATACAAGAACTTGCTCCTAGGAGCCTTCTAGATTTGATGTTTGGGTATTAATTATGTGAAAAGATGTGAGCTCTGCAATTAGAACACTAACATTTTTATTTCAATAGAAAATTAATCTTCCTTATGAAAATGTGTGTGCTGGGTCTCTCCTCCAATTCTTCTCTTCACCTAAAATTATACGAACTGGGTTTACACAAATAAATGTTATTATAACTTTCCATTCCTAAAGGTCACCATGACTTGTGCGTATTAAATGCAAGCAAACAATAAACTCCTCCCTCTTGGGAGACAAGAAAATCCTGGCATGTAGCAAAGTCTTCCTATTTTTAACAGAACTGTAGCATGGCACATTGAGTCACCCACATAACAAGTTTCTTCTCTTTTTTTTTTCACCCCTTAGCTTATTCTCCACCGATAGAAAACCATTTACTCTCTGGCAACAATGGAACTTTAGAATACAAAACTTCCCTGCCGCCCATCTCTCCAGGAAGGTACTCACCGATTCCAAAGCACATGCTTGTTGAAGATGATTACACCAGGTCAGATATGCTTATTGGTTAATTGGGTTTGTGATCATTACCGGGAAGAAAACTGCTTTTGTCTAATATGTCAGCCATTGCTTTGGGGGCTAACTAAAGTTTCTGAGCTCCATTCAACCTTATTATAGTCTTGTCTCCAGTGGAAATCTACAAATTCTTGTAAACATTTGTCATTGTCCTCCATTAGGAATTAAAAATCACTAGTTCTTTATGAGAAGTAGTAATACACACTTATTCATCACTTTGAAATTTATTAAAACTCCCACACATGATGCCATTTCAGCTTGACACCCATTTCGTAAGATGAGTGTTTTTACTAGAGAGAAGGTGTTGCTGAGGTACCAAAAAAAAAAAAAGGAAGTAGCCTACCAAATCACATCTGTGGTTAGGTGGGGAGTCAGGACTGAAACTTCGTCTTTTAAGTTTAAATTCCATGTTTTTGATGCCACTGGACACCCACATTTCAGTGGAGTTGAGAAGAGAGTCAACCTTCCCTTTAGTGCAATAGCTACAGGTAGAAAGAAAAGGAGCAAAATTAACCAGAAGCCCTTAAAGCACGATAGCTCTCAGAGCTATCAGCAGTGCTGTTAGGCATTGTTAATGCCATGGAATGAAACTAAGTTTAGGCAGCATGCCTCTGAAACATTGGATGTGACAGTTCATAGAGTAGACCAACTTAGCTGACTTAATTGTCACCTTTAAGGACTCATTAATATTAGGTAATTAATAGATCACTAATGAGTATGTGGATAAATAATAATAAATATACATTTTTATCTTTAAATGTTTTTGTTCCAAAGTAATATATGCTCATTGCATTTGGTAAAGTAATGCAAAAATGTTCAAGAAACAAAACTCTCTCCCAAAGTCCTATCAGAGTAGCCATCTTGAGGTTCTCTATGTGACATCCTGGCCTGAGCCTCTCATACCTTCTGCATGTTTGTAAAAAACTATACAAATTCACAGTCAGATATAGATGGGGCTTGACATTGTTTTTATAAAGTAAATTCATATTTTAGAAATTGCTCTGCAACTTGCTTTTCTCACTGAGTAATACTTTTACCCAAAATGAGATTACATATAAATATGTACACACTTTTTTCTGAAAGTGTTTGTGTGTAAAAATGACAGAGACAGACTCTTTGGTTTAATATCCTGCCTGTCTAATGAAGCCATTTATCAGCCTATAAAAAAAAATTAGAGACTTCCTGCAGCTTAACTTCCCTCACCGGTACACATGCATGCTTGGGTCTTTTCATTCCTTTGCTATTTCGTTTTAAATGATTAAGCACTTTCCATTTATTTTGCAATTTCAGGTTTGCTGAAGTAGCTTGTTACATCTTTAGCCAAGGAATGGAATGTTTAGATGCTGCAAATGTGCATCTGTGGTATAAATCAAATATAAACTTCTTCCTATGCTGAAACATCTAATCTCTGTGCTCTTAATTAAAATGAGGGCTGCAGCAAAGATAATCCTTATGGCTCTCTAAAGAATTGTGTAAATATAGGCACCTTTATTCACCAGAGCAATGATCTATTTGCTTTCACTCTGTCACTAATATTTGATATGATTTTAATTTGAAAATGTCATTTTATCTTGCTAGGCCCCATAAGGAATTAAAATTGATTAAATCCCCTTCATAATCCAGGCCCTTTGCTAGCTGTTTTACATACACTATTCATTTAATTCTTCCCAAAACACAGAAAGAAGGGCTTTCACCTCATTTTATATATGTAGAAGTTGTAGTTTAAAGATGTTAAAGAACTTCCTTATATAGTCACACAGCTTTTAGGTAGAAAAACCCTGCTAGCTACAAAATCCTGACTAGGAAGAAACATTTTAATTTTCTCCTTATTTTGAAAATGAAAACCAAGTCATATAAAACTGTTCATCATAGAAACATGTAGCTCTAAAGGAACTCGAGTTTGGTAAGCTCTAAGGACAGCTAGATTAGAGGAGAGAACTTTATCTACCACTGATGAGCAATATGACCTCTGGAAAACTATTCAAACATTGCAAGCCTGTATTTGCATCTGTACAATGGGAATACTAATCAAATTTTTCTCAACAGATTGTTGTAATGATTGAATGACATAATGCATGTAAAGAACTTATAACAGGGCCTGACCATCATGGATATTGAATGAGTGTTATCTATTTACAGTAACTCTTCTTGTTATAATTCTTATCTATCTAACATCTCACATGGAATGTTTTTACTGATGGCACTGTGGGAATAGAGTCCACTCTTTCTACAGTGTTATGCCTCAGTATTGTAGTCCTTGTCCTGCCTCTTCCTTTATTCCGCCTCCTTTATGTAAACTGTGCCCTGTCAGGACAGTCTTACTAGGAACTCTGCATAGAATCTTCCAAATGGCTGCTGCCTGGCAAACTTGTGAAGTAAATTATATCAGTTTACACACACACGCACACACACACACACACATTTCCCCCACTCTCCCCATTGCTTTCATCTCTCACAATGGTCTATGCTGGAGACACTACCATGGATCTCAGAGGTATTTGCTCAATGGCAAATTCATTGCCTTGTTCATAAATATTTATTGGATACTTCCTATCAGACAGCAGGCACTGCACTAGGAATGCAAAACTGAGTAAGAAACAACATCTCTAAGAACTATGAAATTGGTACAAATAGAGAGGTAAACCCTTAATGCCTATTCCCTGATATGCAGACCCTCTTTTTGAAATTGCCCATAAAGCCTAATTTATTAATTATTTATTAATTTTTATTTAAATTCTGAGATTACACATCTTGGTATCAAAATGTCATATTTTTTGTGATAACAGATGGCAGATATTACTTTACCATTTCCTTACTTTCAGAAAATGAAATATGTGTGCAACCTTCTATCAGTTCTCATTTTTTAAAAGTAAAAGGTCTGTAAAATGTCAACGTGTGGGAGCTAGTAACAATAACAAACAAAACTAGATCAGTTCTAGGAAGTGTTTTGGTGCCTGGTAGCAGAGTTCCCTAACACCACAGGAGTTACTTAGTAAAGATTTGTAAATGAATTTGAGTTTTATATGAATGCCCAAGGTTAAGCCTATGGAATCAAAGAAAGTTTTCAAGAGGAGATGACTCTGAGGCTGAGTCTGAGTTTGAAAAAAATCTGTAGGCCTTGATTGGAAAGCCAAGGGATCAGGAAGGGTATCCATGGTAGGGGGTAACACATGCATTTTCATGGAAGAATATGAAAGAGAATAAAATGAAGCAACTGTTAGAGCTTGAAAAAAAAGACTCAGAAAAGAGTATGGTTCCTACTTTTAAGTTGTCTTTCTATGCCTAGCCTTTCTGTCATACTTATAAAATTTAAAACACATAAGGTGGTAAAAACAAAAAGATCCCTATCGTGCACTGTTAACACAAAGCCCTTCAATAAGTATTATTGCTCTTATTTATATTATATTCTTTTTCTTGATTTCTATAAATAACAAAAATGTTCAAGGAGTTTAAGTCATTGCCTCATTTTACACAACAAGCAAATAGCAGAATCAGAAATTGAATTCAGGTCTGTCTGTGTCCAGTGCCTCATCCTCACATCCCATCCCCCATCCTATGCATTCAGTTTCCATGGAGAAATGTTAAAGAAGATTGGGCTTGTGTCGGCAGACTTGTTTCTAGTCCCGTTACTATGAACTAAACACCTAGATAACTCTGAACATTTAAGCTCTGTGAGTCTTGATTTTCTCACCTATAGATTTAGGGGGAAAAGGTGCATTCCTAATAGAATTCTGATAGTATGAGTGAAAGTTGTCATTTTTAAAGGACTGGATAAATTTAGTATCATCCTAAGGTGTTAGATAACTTATATTTGAGGCCCACATTGAATTTTCCTAAAATAGTAAATCAAGGGAACTTATCTCTAATGATGGGACTTAAGCTAATAGGGAAACATTTCTTTGAAATGATTGATTATAAATGTTTGATTATTATCATCATTGGTAATAATCATCAAATTGGAAGCTTTTTATTCTGTATGCTCATGATATCTAACTCTATCAAGAAACATTTCCCTGTTTTCCTGAATCATATTTACTTTTGGGGGGGGGTAGATATAGTTAAGAACTTTTTAAAGGAATTTTGATTAGAAAAATGGTATACTCTCTTAGCTAGAATTTTTTGTAACTATTTCTTACTATTTACTGAAACCTGAGTAAACCAGGAAATTTTGTTTTTCTGGTGATTTAGAGAAAGCACAAACAAAAAGTCCCTGGATAAAATTTTCTTAGAAAAAAGTCAGTTAAAAAATTTTTTTAAAAGAACTCTAAAAAAAAAGAAAAGAAAAAAGTCTGTTGAGTCTTCTATAAATCAGTATTAATTGTGATGTAGATATATAGTCTTATATTTTTGTTAAACTATTTTGGAAAGCTATCACTGTGATGCCAAGATGTATTTTTGGCTCAGAGAATTATAGGCTTTCAGACTTGGAAGGGCCATCAATGAATCTAGAGTCTAATCTTCCTCCTTCTGATGGGTAAGGAACACAAGCCTAGAATGATTTATTGGCTATCCCTAAGTCCCATAACTTGTAAGTATTAGAATCAGATACATAACCTGTGTCTTCAAACACCGTAACTACTACTTGCTCTCTTTTCCTAAGCTGGGGTTCACTTTTGTTGTTGTTGTTGTTTCTGAATGGTATAAGAAGGTAATAATTATGAGAACTGCAATCAGTGATCACCTATGAGCAATGCCTACTTTATACATTACTTACAACCAAGGATTTTGCCTCTTCTGGCCACCTGGAAGAGGTGCAAAGCACCAGACCCTTACCATCTGGCTCAATACTCTCAGGATATACAAGCAAATCATTGATACTACAATAAAACCAAAACTCTCTCAAGAGTGGGAACCTAATCTACCAAGTTATGAATGTGACAAATTTCATTATGAAAGCCAGGGACCTAAATTATAGCTATGAGCAATGTATTTCCCAGTGACAGAGACCAAGTTCACTTGGACCTGATCTTAGTA